CCTCCGAATCGTCAGCCACCCCCAACCTTTGACACGGGTCAAACTTCCATCTATTTATAGGTAGTTAAATCTACCGGAACATGTATTAGGCGAAGTGATGTGCAATGATAGTCGCAATAGAGAGATTGTTTTGGTCTCTCTTTACTCATCTGCACCACACGAATTTAATTGATGTTTTTCCCTGGACTCTGCCTTTACTAAAGTCTCGAATCTAGATCTAATTGTAATCTAATTGCAGGTTGCAGATTTAATAAATTGCAGAGAGAGAGAGAGAGAGAGAGAGAGAGAGAGAGAGAGAGAGAGAGAGAGAAGGGGGAGGAGTAGATCTTGCGAGAACTTTCGGGCAAAACGAAATGGTGACCCGCGTAGTTCGGTCGATTCGAAAAGTGAAAGAGCCATAGCATCTTTGTAGACGATCAAATTAGCTTACTTTTGTGCTATAACGTCATTTTTTTTTCTTTGCCTTTGTCAATTTGATCATCCACACCGATAGAAAGCATTTCGAAATTAGGAAAAACAGGTCTTGTTTCACACTGGGTGAGAATAGCCAACGCTGGCAAGTCTCACCCGGGGTGAGAGGTCAATCGTAGGGTTTTTATTCTCACCCCGGGCGAGGATAGCAATAGCCACTTCCTTACTTAAATGATTAGGTGATTAAACTTGATCTCTTATTGACAATATAAAAGTCAATTTAAGCATCATTTCGTTAGAAAACAATATGTTAGGTTTGCTAACTTCATAGACTTTGTGTTAAACAACACTTTTAACAAAACGAATCCTTACAAGCCTAGGCTTGGCCTTTGTAATCTCGAAGGTTTAAAAGTAGAAGAAGAAGAGTCTACTACTAGATCTAGAGTCTAGTCCAATTTATTTAATCTCTGGAATGTACTGGATAACAACAGAAATCTGCAACCTGCCACTAGATTACAACTCTAGATCTAGATCTAGATCTAGATTCGAGATTTTAGCAAAGGCAGAGTCCAGGGGAAAACTTCAAGAAATTCTCGTGGTGATGAGTAAAGAGAGACCACAACAATCTCAATAAATAATATATCGCGACTATCACGGCACATCACTTCACCTATACATGTTCCGGTAACTACCTATAAATAGATGGACGTTTGACCCGTGTCAAAGGTTGGGGGTGGCTGACGATTGGGAGGTGGCTGCGGGTTGACGAAAGGGAAAAGCGCTTCGGCACATCCTAACGGAATGTGTCGAATGTAATGATGTTCGTAAGAAATATTTTAAATGTTAAGATATTAAGACCCTTTTTGACTTCGTAGTCCCTAGAAAAAATTTAAGTTATATAAAAGAAATTGGACTATTTAATAGTATATGAAAATATATAGTTATCGTTATCGGTGTATATACACATACACTGAAATTAATATTGTACAAATGTAAATAAGCCTTTTCCATATTTACAAACTTTTAATAAATTTTTGTTTGTCTTTTTAGCATAATGAAAATAGTGTGATCGTGTGCGGTTGCGAGCTCCGAAAGACTCTTACTAAAAACACGTCTGATTTTGTAGAGGTGAAACCTGTTGGCGCTTAAATGACCAAAATTGTGTCGATAGTGCCGTAAAACATCTACTCAATCAAAAAAGCTTCCGGTGGAACCACCATCTGCACTGACAACAACACTTTCATGGACCAGTACATTTTAGGACGGCCCTCCAGGCTATTATAATTGCCCTACGGGTCGCCCTGCACAGACCAATCTCGATCTGCTCAGTTTATATCCCACCAAATTACCCCCTCAAAATAATCCAACAAAATAATTTAAAGCTCCAGCTCCCACCCCTTTGGGGAGACAAACCCACAGACCAGAAAGGAAACATTTGAGAAGGTTTTTTTTTTAAATTTCAAAATGACATCTGTCTTAAATTAAAGGTCCCCCAATTACAGAAACAGATCCACTTTCGGCCCTTCATCCCTTGACCTCACCTTTTGTACCCCTGACCTAGTCCCAGATCTTGAGTGGTCTGTGCTGGATAACCGTACGGACCATTTCCTAATTCTTCTAAAAACTAATAGCCTCCAAAATGACTCGACCCCAGAACACTTCAACGGGTTCGCCATTGAATGTTCCCAAATCCCACTTTCGATCTCAACTACAAAATATTCCACGAAAAGCTTCTTAGAAATATGCCACAAACTCATACCCAAAACATCTCCAAAACCCCGGAAGAAGAAGGTCTGGTTCCCTGGGGAATGTGATGATGCAGTAAAGAAAAAGAAGGCAGCATATCAAAGAGCCGTCGACAACACCATCACAGAAAACAAAATTAATTGCCTGAAAGCTCGAGCTGAGGCACGTCACGTAGATGCCTGAGGGAGAGCACAAGACAATCGTTCAGAAAATACATATCTAAAACCAACAATCAGACACCACTCAACCAAGTTTTTAACATCGCTAAAAAATTTGGGTAGACGCACAGACACCACCCGGCATGTCCAGAGGCCGGATGGAACCACAGCTGAAACACGGGTAGACATTGCAAACATAATAGCTACATCCTCTCCAAAAACTGATCCAAATCAAAACTACAACACCACCTTCCAAAACATTAAAACTAACAGAGTACAACAAAACCTCAACTTCCACTCAAACAGCAATGAAACCTACAACGCAGACTTCAATAGACGAACTAACATCGTGCGTCTCAGACCTGAGAAATACAGCCCCGGGACCGGATGACATCCACAACCAGATCATTAGACACCTACCCTCAGAAACACTAACACTCCTACTAGACACATACAACGACATGTGGCGGTCGTACTCCTTTCCGGAGTCTTGGCGTCTCGCCACTGTCATTCCAATACCCAAACCAAACAAGGACCACACACACCCTTCCAATTACAGACCAATAGCACTAACGAGCTGTATGTGTAAACTTATTGAAAATATGATTCACAGGCGACTGTACTAAACAAAACAAACAAAACAATCACAGGCGACTCCTGTGGTTTCTGCAGACGAGGGGCTCGCTGAGCGATCTCCAGTGCGGATTCAGGAAAACACAACCCACTCTGGAAAACTTGGTCCACCTGGAGACCTTTATACGCGAGAAACTCACATTGACAAGAAACTCACATTCATTCCACACATAAAAGACCTTCGTGTGAGGTGCCAGAAAGCGTAAAACGCTTTGAAAATTTTATGGCATCCGGAGTGGGGCGGGGACTCAAAACACCTTCTCCACCTATACATTTCCCTTGTCCGATCCAGGCTTGACTGTGGCTGTCAGGTCTATGGATCGGCAAAACCCCAGGTCCTGAAAGTGCCGGATCCAGTACAAATCCAAGGACCTCGCCTTGCCCTGGGGGCTTTCTGCACTTCTGTAGTGGAGAGCCTCCAAGCCGAGGCAAACTTAACATCACTCACTCTCAGACACACACACACAGCTCTCACTACAATACGCAATTCGCAATTAAACAAAGTTCAACATTAGAGAACCCAGCACACAACTGTATTTTCAGAACAAATCCAGACACTCTGGAACACCATAAACAAACTCCAAAACAACGAATAACTCACCAATCCCTTCAGCCCGAGAGTCTTTGAGAACCTTAAAAAAACCAAGCACCTTTCCGAGCAAGACATTAAACAATTTCTTTTCCTCGAACTCCCTCCGTGGCTCCTCACCAAGGCAAAAATAGACTTACAGCTGACCACACACACCAAAGCAAGCACAAAAAACCAAAATATTTAAAGTAGAATACAAAAAAATATAGAAAAATACCCCCGCTGCAGAGCTAATCTTCACAGATGGCTCTAAATCGGACTCCGCTGTGGGCACCGCTGCCTTATCCTCAAACAGTTTACCACACACCAGAGTAGATTACATCCCGAAGCCTCTATTTTCTCGTTGAAGGCCACTGCCTTTGACATGGCACTGGACTCCGTAGAAAAATTTCATAACAAATCATTCATTGACTTATCTGACTCTCTGTCTTGCATCACCTCACTTACAAACTACACACTCTTACACCAACAAAAAAAATAGTTTACTTTAAAAAAATACACGCTTTAGCTGAAACCGGGAAAAGTATCTTGTTCGCTACCTAGCCATGTGGGCATCCGAGAAAACGAGCAAGTGGACCTCCTGGCAAAAGATCCTTTTCTCTTCTGTTGGGATCAACGACGAACACTCTCACACAGACTGACTTTTTAGAAATAAAGTAACAAAACGACTCCTCCAGTCTGTGGGAGGCTCACTGAAAAAACCAAGAAAACAAACGACACAACATCAAGCCCAAACTGGGTCCACGAAAACCTTCGTGCCTTTCCAGAAGATAGGGTGTCATTTTTACTCGATTACGCATCGGACACACGTCCCTGACACATAAATACCTCATTTATGGAGATGAGAAGCCGTTCTGTGTTGGATGCAACACAGATTTTAGCATTAGAAACATTTTAACAGAATGTCTAGATTTCAGAGAGACCCGAAGGAAATATTTTAGACGCAAAAAATTGCAAGATCTGATTTCCGTCGTTGATTCAAACAGAATCCTTGATTTTTTATAAAGGCCTTTTATTAAAAATTGTGAATAACATTGATTAAAATTTATAAAAACGTTATTTCAAAAATTATTTTAAATTAAAACTTATTTACATTAAATTTTTAGTATTTCAGCATTTTTGTAGAGGTGATGACCAGAATCAGGCTGTGCAGTCAACTGTTGCAAATGGAGGAACCAACTTTTTTTGCGCATTCATACTATGACCTTATGAAGTTGCGAGCGCCATAAAACTCTTACTAAAACCCCCCAAAAATATATTCGCTTTCTATACATCATTTGAAATTAGTGGCCTTAATTGCACTGCATTGCACCACCACCACAAACGACTTTGAATCTAGTTAGTTTAGTTTTCATAGTATACGAATTAACAAATGAACAAGCCAAAACAAAACAATAAAAATGAATAGAAAATAAAACTTACTAATGAATATTGTCAAAATGATGAAGCCTAATCATCCTCAGGCATGGGATAGCCGCAACATATCAGAGCTGGACCCCGTCTTTGGGAAAGATCTTGCACAGCTTGGAAACTTTGTTCACAACGATGGTACTATCACCACAGGTACGTTCACTATTTTAATCGGGGAAGGGGGGGGGGGTGTATTCTCTACTTTCAGCAAAATTGCATTGCTCCTCAGTGTGCTTGTGTAAATAATGAACGAGTCTCTCCTAAACTAAGGGTCAAATGACATAAAGAAAAAAAAACAAGTTGAGGAGTAAAGCCAGTACATATATGTAACAATTTTAGTGATAGCTGACAGTGAAACAGAACTAAATGTTGACGTAAACCCTCGAGGGTGCACTGAGACTTACAAATTAATGAGGACTCAATTTTGTCGCAATCTTGTAGAATACTGCAACTTCTCAATAACAATGTTGTCATCTCCAGGATTTCTTTTATCAGTGTGATCAACAGCTTGACACATTTACACTGATTTCTTTTTTCCAGCCTTTTACACCAAGTATCTGCTGATGAAATATATATTCAGGAACAAAGACAAATACAAGGCGTCTGAGAAGGACTACGTAAGTCATGAACAATATTCCACTACACTTGACGCGTCTGTATAATAATAAGCAAACTCTATAAATCAATTCGCACTAATTCCTTTTTTTCTGGTAGAAGAATCAGGATCAAACCTACAAAAATCCCCGCCCCCTCCCCTGACAACCTCCCCCCCAAAAAATTCCCAGAAAACCCCCCAAAACCCCACAAGAAGCCAAATATGGTGTGTTATACAACCAATGTTTTCAGTTTGAAAAAAATTAGAACCATCATTCTTTAAGAATAACAATAACATCATTGTCAGGAGATTGAAAATAGGTGGTATGGTTGTTGGGCTTAATCCCGTTCTGATAGAAGTGAAATGGTTTGTTCATACGTGGCATGTTTTTCATTTACAACTCTGCATGAGCTACTAGAAGATATTTATCTTTTTTTTTTTTTACAGTAGGTAAACGTACAAAATATCGTAGATATGTAGGAAACAAGAAGTGTAAAATGAAAGATGTGTAAAATGAAAATTCTTTTGAACGTCACAGAATTACGTTTTGTGATAAAGATTAGATAGCTGGAGCATCTTTGGAGCAATAACATCTTCGACTCTGTTTTCCCCGGCCGGCTACACATGTCAGTTCCAAACAGTTGGTTCGGAATGGAAAGGCAAACCTGGCGGCAGAATCGTAGATGTGGATAACTGCTGGTAAAAAGTTAAACCAGGAGGCCGAGCCGGCGGTTTCAACAAGATTGATTTTCTGATTACAGTTCAGCACGTTCCGTCAACGACAGCCTTTGTGCGACGTCACAGGCTTAGCCCTCTTATTTTTTCACTGCCAATATCTTCAAAATGATTTACCGCACATAAAATCTAATTACATTTTTTTAAACGAGTGACCCAATTTTAAGTCAAGATTCGAGCAGAATTTGTGGGGGGTTTTTCTCCAATAATTAAAGATATTTTTAAAGTCCCCATATAATAATGCATTCACTGAAGGTGTTCAGTACACTCCGCCCTTTTAAAATTTGACTTGAGAGCTGTCGTTAAACCGCACGTGATTTGGAAGACAAACCGACCCGTCGAACGGCGGTTTTGCGCGGTGGTTTCAACGCCGGTTCCCACTCCGGTTCCCACTCCGGTTCCCACTCCGGTTACACCGCCATGTTGGAACGTACATGTATAGCGGCCTTTAGGTTGAGGTTGTCGTCCTTTCTTCGTAGCTCTGATTCAGCGGTCAGACGCTGTTTGCGAACCTCGGCTAGTGTTTCTTTTGTCAGCGTAATTGTTCTAAACACATTTTTTCTCTTGTCTTCAAATCGCTGCTCCCATGCTTTTACGTTTTTGGAGAAGAAATGAAATTTGCTTGGAATAAAGGAACATTTTTTTTTTTTTGCGAACATCACATCAGGTGATGAAACTTAGGTGAATTCTAGGAATCCGGAACTTAAAGATAATCAGCAAAAGAGACAAACCCAGGATCATCACAAACCTCAGAAAGCTTGACACAAACAAGGTACTTTGAAATATTGCATATCATATTTTTTTCAACAAAATAAAGGTGTGGCTTTGAATTAGGCGACTTCGGTTGGCTCAACAGGCCATGCTGACATTTACAAGATGGTTCTTGAAACTAAGCTGAGACCAGCAATCAGAAGAAAGAGGCCGGATCTGCTTGAGCAAGGTGTCTTTCATCATGACTCGAAAGGCCACCGATCTACTGGACTCCTGCTACTGGGAATTTTTTTAAGGTCCCCTGTTTTCCCCAGAATTAACACAATGCGTCTTTCATATCAAAGGACTAAAGGGGCAGCGATTAATATTTGAAGACGAGGACAAAATAGTGCTCGAAACAATAAATGCTGATGATCTGGTCAAAGTGAATAAAGTTATTCATTTGACCGCTGGCTACTTCAAATGTAAAAATCCAATGAGATTAATAGTCGTTGTGTTGAATAAGAATGTACACAATTTTAAATGAGTAAAATAAGAAATAATACTGATTTTACAGAACAGGTAAACTTGTTTCTGCCACAGACTTTGTACTTCGTTGCCTCCCCACTGTTCGTTGCGTTGTTCTTCTATTTCACAGTACTTTAGAATAATCCCTTTTATACCGTCAATATGTTTGTGAAAGCAAATTGTAACATAAATGAATTTTTTAAATCTTTTTTTTAAAAACAGGTCGTACTTCAGGCACTCAAAAGGGTATCGGGAAAGATACGACACTATATTGATTCTCTTCATGTCAGTGGACTGCTTGACTATGCAACAAAGATTCTTTCCAAACCTTTTAATTATTCTACAACGGTAAGTATAATACCAGTACTCGTAAAACTTCTACGTTGGCGGGTCGCTGGAAGAGAGGTGACCCTTTCTACTTCAACGTCCTCTATCTGTGCGCTATTCACCGTTACGAAACCTGGCCTGGCAGAGTCATTCGAATTCTGTGTGTGATATTTACTGGTAATGGATTTTCGTTCATTTTTCTTAACCAATAGTAAAATTGGAGCTTATTGTATTATCTAAATCCATTGTGGTTTGTACAACTGTACAGCCCTTTGTACTTTATTATTACGAGGTAGAGGCTAGGGATAACCTGAATCAACGTATTCCTTGCTATTCAAAGAACACTAGCCACACCATGAGTAGCTCAAGCACTGATACAACTCTCAAAGTCTAACAAATAATTTTAAAAGAAGTTAGTGGCTCGCGTGCACGTGCTCTGACAGCCAGCGTAGTATTGCAATTTTAATGGCGTCTTGTATATAAATGTAATATAATACAAAATATACATGTGTGTTAATGAGTGTGTGTGTGTGTGTGTGTGTGTGTGTGTGTGTGTGTGTGTGTGTGTGTTTGTTTGTGTGTGTGTGTGTGTTTCTGTTTATATATTTTGTCATATATATTGCCATATAAACAGTCGAACCTCGTTATACCGCCACCCTTGGGACGAGTATAAAGTTGACGGAACAGCGGGGCTGGCAGTTCAACGGGGTTCTTCTGTTTTTATAGCCCAGGCTTCCCAACGTCAAGGAATATAATATTTTTATCTCTATGTCCTTCTCGTGGGGGAAAGATTATTAAGTAGCAAACCAGTGTGTCGTGTGTACCACCTGGCGGCCAGTTCACTGGCGGTACAGAGGGGCGAATTTGCTTAATTTTAATAAGGACGGTACAACGCAGGCAGTTCGTGAATTGGTGGCGGATGGCGGATGGCGATGTAAAGGCATAAATACTATATTGTTATATTACATTGACAAAACCTGACGGTAAAAGGGGCTGGCA